CGCCAACGCCAAATCCGCCAAAGCAAGCCACCCCCAAAAGCGCCACCCGCTTTGCCACTCATCGCCACACACCACTGCCCCCCCTTGCGCCAGCACTCCCCTCTATCTTTGGCTTTCTCTCAGTGTATCGTGCCATCTCGCTTTTTGGGCCATTTCGTTTGTTGCCATCTCTTTTGGTTTTTGGCCCGAGGCCCGCCTTTCTTTTTCCCCCCTTCGTTTTTTGTGTGCAGTGTGTGTTGTGTGTGCTGCCAACGTCGCAGTCGACGCTTATCTGTGCCGCCCCGCCACCCACTCTGTAACCCCCTTTTTTGGAGGGGGAGAGGGGGATGGAGAAGGGGGTTCCCGAAAGGTTTTCCCTTATTTCTTTGTATTTTCAACTTTATTTTTCGGCTGGTGAAAATGTTTGGCCAAGCTTGAAATATGACACGATTACAAGTGGTGCTATAAACACAAAGAAATATATAATACTATATATGTATATTGGAATCCTTTATAAGTATGATATGGTATTTAAAATAATTTTAGGTTCATACAACAAATAGTTTGTTTTACTGAGTTTTTAATTGAAGTTTTCCAACTTATTTGTTTTCTTTTCTTTCTATTTAGCTTATATTTTCTAAGCAGAATTTTCCCTGTGTATTAACTCTTTGGGTCGTAAATCTTCGTTGCTTTTGGGGCTCGAATCTGGGAAAAATAGCTCCTTAAAGTGCTGCACTTAAAGCACTTTTATGGGGATCCACCAAAGGCCGAAAACCGAATAAAACAAATCAGAGACAAAAGCCAAGTGGAAACTGAACACTGAACACTGGAAACTGAAACTCGCTCATTGTCATTATCGGGGGACTTGATTTTGTTTGCTCATCAAGTTAACCCCCTAAAAAGCCAAGAGACACTCAATTTTTGATTGGAGATTTATGGGAGAAGTTACGAGTCCGCTTTCGGCACTAAAGTTCACTCGAGTCAGGAAGACTTTGCTCTAGTTTTAACGCCTCTCGTAATTTGCCCCAACACATCATCAAATGTCTGCCCCTTAACCCCCTAAAGCCTCCCTGAACCCCCGAAATGCCCCCCCAAAGTTCGTTTTAGTTAGACATTAAAATGCTGAAAATGCTGAGAGAGAGAAGACCCTTTTTTATTTGGCTGTTTTTCCTTTTTGGTGTTTTTTTTTTTTTTTTGTATCGTCTGGGCCTCGTTTTCATTTTATTTCGGGGCCTTACGAGTTTTGTCATTAAGGCGCGCAAGTCGTTCAACAAATGCCCCATAAACAATAAACAATAACAAGTGGGCAAGTGTGTGTGTGTGGGTAAGAGTTATTACCCGAAATAAAAGTGGGAGTTGGGGGGAGGTTTACAAGCCCTGCGACAGGTTGAATCGAAATCGATTAAGGACCATAGAAATATCCGTGATCTAAACACATTTTAACTAGCAAAAAGGGATGCTTAATACTTTGTATTATAATAATTAAAGTAGCATTAAAGGGCAGGCGGTTATGGCCCTCTGAATTATTATGGTCTTGATTTATGGACTTCCCCCATTTATATTTCTCCCCCCGAATATTTCCTGCTAAAATGGCGACATTTCCGGCACAGTCAGTGCCAAAAGTCTACTGGCCTTTCCACCTTCGGGCGTTATAAATTTTTATTTTTATTTCGTTCCCTCTGGTCGCCACAAATCAAAGCGGCGTTTTATGGAAAATAGTTGGCAACAAACACACTCGCACACACGCACTTGGCCAAATGATTTACGAAGGCGTTGAAAAGGCGTTAGAAGAGGAAGGTACCAGTTTTTTGGTTCGCTTCGGCTTCGGCTTTTTACTCGCTTTTTTTGTTTTTATCGCACATCGGTAAAGTATTAAATTCGTGGCCCCAAAATAGCCGCAAATTTATTATCCCAACGAGCGTACAGTGAGAAAAAAAGCATTAAAACGAGCAGGGAAAGTCCATTGGAGGGGAAAGGGGGGATGTTGTGGTCAGTCTCGTGTATAACAAAGAGTAAAAACCCAGAGAGTCATAAAAATAAAAAATAGCCCAAGTAAATGTCAAATAAACTTTAACGGTTTTACTTTTTTCCTTCGGTTCTTCGCTTTTTTATTTTATTTTTTTCTCTACGGCTAACAGATTGGACCACAGGCAGCCGCAGCAGCCAGAGCCATAAACTTTTCGGGCTGCAAGGCCCGAGGAAAAAAATATAGTAGGGGAGAGTGGGGCATTGTCGTCACTTTTTTTTCAATTGCGAAATTTGTTGATAAAATAACTTATTTTTATCATGTATTATACATGGTTGGATTCGGAAAAGATCTGGCTATAAAATGCAGTAAGTATTTCGGACATCCTCTCATTTGTTTATTAATACGAAACTGTTATCTGAAAGAAGGCAAAATTGGAAAATTGAAAAATCGTGGGGCAAAGTCGTCACCCCCCTGGGGCAAAGTCGTCACATAGAATAATGAATGCAAATATAGGTACCCATGTGCACAAAACTATTTTAACTTGTCAAACACACATTTATTGATATTCATACATATAAAAAAGTGGAACACTATACCTATTTTTTGCAAAAATTTGACACATTCAGATCTAAGTGAAGGATAGAAAGCAAAAATCAGAATTTCTTAAAGATTTTTCTTTGGGCGACCTCTTTTTTAGAATTTTATTTTTGTTTGAAGAACATTTTGGAGAAATTATATTTTATATTTAATACTTTACATAAACAATCACAAAACAATAATAAATTGATACGAGTTTGTATTTCAGACTGAGATAATACAGTGACGACTTTGCCCCACCCGTTGAGTGACGACAATGCCCCACGCGACATTTTTTGATAAAAACATGAATAACAAATCGAAACTCGAATCAGCTGTTACACAACCTACCATATCGTGTTCGACAAACATTTCTCAACAATAATAACTCACCTTTATACTTCTTTGATCGAAAATGTACTTGGAAGAAAAAAAGTTCTGCGCCGGAGAAAAATTACTTTTGAGGCTCCGAAACACTTTCTGATGAATAAATAATTATGCATAACCTATAATTCTACCAAACTCCGTCGGTAATGTAGGAATAGTGCAATACACTTACGCTAAAAAAATTGGGTTGGTAGCCCTTTTATTTTTTAAAATAATAGCGAGTGACGACTTTGCCCCACTGACGACATTACCCCACTCTCCCCTACATATAAATACCTATATAGCTGCGGATAAATATATATACACGCAAAGAAACAACCAAATTGCAACAGAAAATCCATTTAAAATGGTTTGCCATTAAATAATTTGAATGTCTCACAAGTAAATGTATCATAAAACATAAACTGCAAAAGCAACGAATGAAGTTCAACTTTTCAATGATTCATTTTATATTCCAGCTATATAAACATGTTTTTATTTCTGTGCATAAATACATATAGAAGCCATGTAACCAAACTGACTGAACAAAAACTGCCACCGCTGCAAAAGCTGAAACTGCAAATAAAACAAAAATAAAAACTCCTAGAGAAAAGAAGAAGTAGCAACCGCAAGGCGAATCAAAGGGGAGGCGGCAGAAGAAGGAGGCGATGGCAAGGGGGGGGGTTGGGGGGCGTGGCAGAGGGCCAAGGGCGTAGCTGAAGCCAGCGATTTAACCGGGGTCCCATCGAGAATAAGAGTACTATATTACGTGACCAGCCGGCAAAATGACAACCGTAAATCTGCGGTATATTTAATGTGGTTGAACGGACTTAAAGAGTGGAAGGCGAATGGTTGAGTTTACCAGAGGATATACGACAAGGAGCTACCCATCAATTTGATTTATTTACTTCAACTTGCCAATGAAGTTACTTTGAATACAATTAAGTGCTGTATTCTCTTCGAAGAACAGATAGTTGAAAGGGTTTAAATGAATAAAATAGTAAACTTTTTAGTTTAGGTACAAAAAATGTAAGAATTAACATAGGGAAAGGCAAATCTATACTTTTTTACAATAAAATTAATAATACGCCACGTTGCCACCCGCAAAAAAAAAAACAGCTTTTAGCACAACAAAATGACTTTAAAGTAAAATTGACTTTAAAGAAAGAACCAACAACAACAGCTGCTTATCGCTGGGAAAAGATAAAAGTAAGGAGATGAACTTTCGGGACTTTTGGCCATATGCGTTTGACCCTTTTGGCCGGCAAAACAAAACCAGAAAAAAGTAGGCGTAAGAAAGCAACAAAAGCGGCAACAACCACAAAAGCAAACAGGACAATAAAGCAGGAGGCATCAAAGGCGAAGAAGGAGAACGTGTGTTTCTGTGTGGGTTCATAAAAATGTTGTTTTCGGCCGTCATAAAATAACAACAGAATCCCTCAAAAACAACCGGCCAAGTCTGAGCTAAGGTCGTTTAAGGGTCATTAAGTACGCACATACAATATATATATATATATATATATATCCTTCTATATGGACAAGGACTCCCACATGTTTACGCCTAAGTGCCGTAAGTCATTTGAAGTGTTGATGATAACTCACAAAGTTTAAGGCTTAAAGAGAACGGGAAAAAACCGAAAAGTTGGCTAATTCAATTGCGAAAGGGTCGCGTTTTACATCTTAAAAAGTTAATCCCAAAACGCAAAAGCCATTAAAATTGTAGAAATTGTAGAAGAATATAAACTTTAGCTTCTAAGCATGAGAAATTTTAAAAAACATTTACATTCGCTTTTTGCGCTTCGTTTAACTGATATTTTATTATCACAAATATTTGTACTTATTTCCTGCTTTTATAATTAAAATGGATCGAAAAAATCTTGGAATAGTTAACCTTGTATCGTTGAAAAGGATTATAAATTTAAAAACATTATGAACGGGGAAGTTAAAAACACTTGGCAATTAGTTTTATCTGCCCCTTTTTTCAGCACTTTATGAAACCCATTCCGTTCTTTGACTACCGAGTTTTATCTCAAAAGTTTTGCTCCATTGCACTTTGTGTTCCCTGCTTTCTTGGCTCTTTTCATTTTTTATTTGTAGTTTGATTTATTACCTCAGTTACGCCGTCGCTGGCCGGCCATTCATTGTTGTTGTTTATCACACAGCAAACAGTTTAATTTATATGACAAGCAATAAATTGACGCGTCGAGAGCGGTGACAAAAAAAAAACAACATCACAAAAAAGTCACACGTTTCCGCTTAAAAATGTTGCTCTTTTTTGAATGGTTTTTTCCTTATGATTTTTAGAGTTGCCATTGCTTTCTTTGTCAAAGAGGCGTATACTTGATGTGTTGACACTTTTGCGGCAAAAAAATAGTTGCATAAATTGTGTGGGGCTCGTGTTGTGGCTAAGTGAAAAATCCGTTGCACGTAATTAACGCAATTAAAATCAAAACATTAATGACCTGCGCTCCTTTTCGCCTGACGCCGCTGTCGACTGCGACGCAGCTGCGCAGTCAGCGTCGCTGCAGCGATAAAAGCGGCAGACGAGCTGCGTTTGCAGTTTTGCTCCGAATTTTTGGTAATTTTTCACTAAGTTTTTTCGCTCATAAAAATGTTGAAAAATTGTAGAGGAAATAAATAATAATTATTGTTGAATTATTGGCTGGGAACTTCGGAGGCATCGAATTATTAATGGATGAAAAAAGAGAGAGAGTCGGAGAACCGGGTGTAAATTTTTGCCTACTTTTTGGGGCTCGCAGCCATTTTGTTCTGCCTGCGTCGACTTCAGCAGCAACGTCGCCTTAACATCTTGCATCTCGCTCTCTCTTGTAGTCGGCGAATGCGCAGCTGCGAAGAGCAGACTCTCTCTCATTCGCCGGCTCTCTCACCCTCGTTCTCTCGCTCGCACTGCTCTCTTTCTCCATGAAAAGTGAGAGAAAATGGCAGCGTTGAAATATTTAACACCGCTAAGTATGCTACGAAAATGTTTTTGCCAGAAAGCGAAACAACTTTGGAGTATTTGTTGTGAATTTTGCTATTCAAAAGGAATGTATAGAAATTATACTTCCTAAAAAATAAATGAAAGCACATAAATTAAAGGTAGAAATTTAAGCCATTAAAAATGTCATTTCATGGGCAGAAACAAAATAATTTATTATTTTAAATAAAGGGCTTGGTTCTGTTGCAAGAGATAAAATGCAATGTTCCCAAAATTGTGGCAACCTCAATAAAAATCACACTTTTTATAGGCGTGTCTTTAAACCTTTAATTGCTGCTTTGGCCAGTGAAAACTTGGCAAACGTCAAATAATTATCCGGCCAACTTTAAAGCTTAACCCATGCTCGCACACACTCACACATACAAGCACATCCTTTAAAACTTCGCCGTCGAGTGAAAAGGGTAAACAAAGGAGAGGAGGGAGGGGCTCGTTTTGCAGCTGCTTTTGGCTTTAATGCGTTTTCAGTTTTTCCCAGCTGCCTTTCCATTTTGCCCGCCTTTTTGTTGAATTTTTCGGCACGAAAGGAATGCGAAAATTATGGCAAAAAAAAAAAAACTCTTTAATGGAGATGTTTTTCAAAAACGGTATTTTTAAATTAGCGTGGAATGCAAGTATGTTTGAAAACAAAATTAGGAAAAAATATTTATTAGGTAACTTGGCTTGTAATTTTAATTAAAAACTATTCTTATCATTTTACATACAGAAAAGACATGAAAACACTCTACGATAAAGAAAATAGGATAATTCCTGATGAATGCTTTTCCAATTTAAATTTTCTAATGCAAATTCCTCTCTCCAATTTTAATAAGTTATCTTGCTATGTGTACTTGCGTCGCTTTACTCGAACTTTGTTTTATTTATGCGATTTGTGTAAATATTTGCCAAGCATTTAGCCCCTGACTTTTGCACGGCCTTCTTGGCACCGCAAAAATGCAGAAAATATATTTTACGGGATTACCAAAGACAACAGCATTCGCAGAGGCCCCCTCTGCAGAAAAAAGAAGAAAAACTCGGCGCCCTGAAAAATCAACAATCAGCAACAACAACATCCAACATCAACAGAAGGCAAAACAATGGCAACATTTTCTTTTATTCCCACGGTAATTTGAATGCCAAATATTTCTATGGCAAACGATAAACAATTAGTGCAAACAAATAGACAAACTGCGTCAGAAATTAAAATATTTTTGGGCAGAAAAGCGTGGCACAAATTGCGCCTAAATATACCCAAAAGCGTTCCACGTGTCGTATGCGTAATTTTGTATTTATTGCTGATGGAATTGCAGATACGTGAGGGGCTTTACGATCCAAAGAGGGACAGAAGGGGGATGCAAAAGGGAGGGGAGGGGAAGGCCAACTCTCATTAGCAAAGATGAGCCCCAATTGGGATGTCCGGAAAATTTATGGTGGCCTGATTAGGCCTCTCCAATAAATAGAGAGCAAAATGTTGGCCCTAAAAATCTAGATACGTACATCTACGTGGATTTTCCAGTAATTATTAAAGAGAAAGTTGAGGACATAGGGTTGGTTTTACTTTATAAGTTAATGTGTAAATGAGAGCCCTAAAATATATTATTAAATGGACTATATATTTCCACTTCCTTTTCAATATTTCTTTTTTGAAATGTATTTTAAGGACTTACCGCTCAGCGAATTGTGGCCGCAGGATGGCGCCTTGCCCAGCAGATAGTCGTCCTTGCAGATGAACTTATTGTCGTCCAGCACGTAGAGCTGCTCACCTGTGCTCAGTTGCTTGCGGCAGATGCAGCAGGTGAAGCAGTTCAGGTGGAAGACCTTGTCCCTGGGCTTTCGCACCAGATCCGACGGCGCGATACCCTGGCCACACCCACTGCACTTGGTGCCGTAACGCCTGCGGATGGAAAAAGCAAACAACAACATACTTAAGAAAGAAATACAAAGATGCGAGAAATATATGAGGAGTTTTTCAAGAGATTTAAAAGGTTTAATTTAACAAGAATGCATTTTTATTGAAATTATGTATTAACTTTCAATGAGAGAATCCACAGCACTCAAGATATATATTTTTTTCTTTACTTTCCTAAATATAAATATTCTATAATATCCCTTTAAGTTTATGATCCCATTCCATTAAGAGAATCGCTTCCTAAAACGTCTAATTGTTCTTCCTGATTGAAGTTTCATCACCAGCTTATATTTTGCAATAATGCCAACTCTTCAGAAGCCTTTCAATCCCGATTCAGGATTCCATTTTCCCCACTTCGAACCTTTCTCCCTGCTAAATGGCTTTTGTCTGTCGCCGTCACTTGTTAACCTTTTCCAACTGGCCCTGATTGATAGGATATCTCGGCTGCCGTCCCTTGACTTTTCCCCTTTTTTTTTTTTTTTTTTTTCTCCATTCAGCAAGCCAAGGAACTGCAGGATTTGATTTCATTTTGATTTGCTCAGGTATTTTGCATGTTAATTGCTTTCGCCAGCCATTCTCGAGATTTTTCCTCTATTCCCACGGATTTTTTCAATTAGCCAACATCGTCGATGGAGTGAATTCAAACGGAACACAAAAGTCGCGATTGCCAACTTGACTTAATTGCTTTGGTTTTGATTTTGATTTCTGCCCGCCTTTGTTTCTATTTCTATTTATATTTCTACTTCTGTTTTTGGCGCTTTGAGCCTTTGAGTCGCAGAACTATTTTAAATCAAGAATGTCAGCGATTGCCGAATGACTTAAGGGGTTTTTTAAATGCGTTTATAAATCAATTCTAAAAGAAAAAAAATGTATATAACTACTTTCAAACTACGTAGTCTTTAAATATAGAGAAAAGACTAAAGCTTGTTGATAAGCTTATAATAATTTTATTAATAAATAATATTTGAGCTTGGCAAAAACTCACCTGAAGAAATCGTTGCGACAGTAGAGCTTCGATTCGCGGCTGAAGCATTTGTCGGTGAGCGGTTGGAGGCATTCACAGCAGCGGACGCAGGATGCGTGCCAGGCGCGTTCCAGGACATTCAGCAGGAACTTGTCCAGGATGGGTTTGTTGCATCCGGCGCAAGGATCACCAACACCAACGGGCGGTTCACTGCGACCTAAAGAAGAAGGAAAATAAAGATTATTATTAAAGATATATTTATGTGTATTATATTTATTTCAACAAATCAATAAACATTCATTAAACTGTTTTGGAATTCAAATATAGTTTCCTTTGGCTTATTATTATGCTTAAGCAATTAGCTGCATGACCTCCAGTGACCTTTTAATAATAATGGCCAGTCAAAGGAAAAGCGGCGGTCAGTTCAAGTGGAAAACGGGAAAGCGGGAGAGCGGGAAAGCGAGAGCACTCAACTGTGCGTCGGAAAATCCTTCGAGGCGCAAATTAGCACCTCGCTCTGCTTGCCTCATTAAGTTTGCACATGTGTGAGGGGCATACACACACACACACACGTAACCCCTCCTCCCCCTTTCCCCGGGTGTTTCCCCAACTAAAAGGTAGAACACCTGTAAATGAGCAATTCCCAGGTGCGTGGCCTTGGACGGATGCAAACATTTGAGGATTTACAATTTGCACTTTGCATTCTGCACTTAGATAAATTTGACAACTGGCCGCAGGGGGCGGCAAAAGCACCCGGTTTTTCCAGCTACTCTGCTTTTTTGACCATCACTTTTCATCACTTCCCGGTCGGTTCACCCATTTCCCCCCAAGCCATTCACCTTTTTCACCGATGTCCGAGTGCGACTCTAAGTAACTTTTAGGAATCCTGTTTGTGGGAACACTAAAAATAATTTCTGAATTCCTAGCTTAAATACATCCAAATGGTTCTCTATTAATATTTAAAACTAATTGAGGAAAATGTTATTTACTTTGTAGTGATCGTTTTACTTTCAGCATAATTTTTTAGTAATACTTATATTATTATATCTTCTTAAAAAAAAGAAAAAAAGCATTTATTTGCTGTGCAGAAATCTCGTTTGGTATCTTCCACCTTGTTAGTTCTGCCAGAAAGGGCGGCATTGGGGGCGTGGCACATGCGTATAGATTTATATATATCTATACCTATATAATATATATGATATATACAAATTTGTGTGTGAATCGAGCGAAGTGCAACCGAATAATGATAGAGGCCAGGCTAAAATGGAGCCCCGAGGCCTGAGAAACTCGAGTTCCCAAAGAAGGAGGGAGAATCTGCAGAAGGAGTGGAGAAGGAGGAGAAGAGGAGGATGAGGAGGAGAAGGAGGAGCACTGGACAAAGGAGGAGAAGCTGGCGAACAAGGAGCAACAAATGCTGCCTCCTTTCGCAGTCAATCAGTCAATGGAGTTGCAAGAGGCGAAAATATTTTTGAAAAAAATAATAATAATTCCCCAAAGATGAGCAAACGTTTGTCTTCGTTTGTGGAACACTTGCAGGTGGGGCCTTTTGGGGGCGTGACCAGGTACAAAATATATATAAACACAACAAAAAGAAACCCAAAAACAAAAAAAATAACAGAACCAAGGAGTCAAAAAAAAGCAAACTTGTGTGTGAAAATTTTGTTTTCATTCAAAAAGTTTTCGAAGAACGCGGCAAGGGGAGGAGGTGATAAAAAGAGGAAGAAGGGAAGGAAGGAAGAAAGGAAGGCTGGCAACGTGAATGGCGAAAGGAAGTGGGAGGGATATCGGCTAAAACCAAAAAAAGAGGAGATGGCTAAATATGATAACTAAAAACAGGAGAAGTCAAATATAAAATACATTTTGAAAATTTAAAAAGGATTCGTTTAAACATCAAAACATTTGTGACTATTGAAATTTTAATATTGTAATATTATCAGCATAAAAAAATAAACAAAATAAATATTGAGATAACTAAGAAGTACCCAAAACTATAACATTTATTAAATTAGTAATTACAAAGACCAAAGAAAATCCAAAGCAATCAATAATGCGGCACTGGAGAAATGGAGCCCCGCCTGGGAGCCTCAAAAACAAATGTATAAATATTTCGGGAATTTCGCTAAGGAGCACGAAAAGAAGACAAATTGAGGTGGATGACGAGCAGGATTTTCTGCGTGGATCTGCTGCCACTGAAATATATCATATTCCGCAGTCTTCCCCTCCCCCTCCCAAAAAAAAAAAGTTCCCCATCTCCTCCCACAATGACCCACATTAATAAAGCTTAGGGAGCTGCTCTGCCATCCCATTCCCATGTTGTATTTCTTTTTTTTTTTTGGGTATACCGCCTGTTACTCATACGCCCCGTGCAACCGACAGTAGCCACTGCCTCGAGCGAACTGATAAAACCGAGGCGAAATGAATGAATACGAAGGAGGGGAACTTTTCGGGACGACGAGAAGCAACGACAGCAATGCTTGGCCATTATAAATGAGCAACTGACACACTGATTGATTGACGAATTGACTCATTTTCGCTAACAGAAAGCCCAAAAAGAACAGCAACAGAAGAGGAAGCCCGAAGAACAGCGAAGAATTATAACGAACATCCTACCCAACAACAACAGCAACAACAACAACAGCAACAACAACGAA